ATTAACAGAGACAAATAAGGACAGCTTGATTCGCTGGCCCAGGAAGTTGATTTGAATCTGTACGCAGGTCGCCTGCATCCTGTGCCTCATTGTCTTCATACCCGCTGTAAGCGCTCTCAAGGCAGGGGCGGACTGGCCATCGGGACGTTCGGGACGAATCCCGATGTGCCGGTACTGAAGTGGGCCGGTCGGACGATGTGGGCCGGCCTGTAACCGGCAGCGCTCGACATTAAATGGCCCGCTGGCCCGGAAGCACTATTTAGACACCCCGGGCCAGCATAACGTAGGCTACTTTCCACTTGCCCGCTCGGACCACTAAAAATATTGCTTTAAAATTAAAATTGTCCTGTGGTATTGGTATTTTTGACTAGCAATTTAGTTAAATTGTTTCGTTTATCAACGCTACAACATAGCCTTCCGTGAGTCGGTTGTCGTTGTTGGGTGAAAAGCAAACAGCTGTTTGCTACGGAGCGCAGCGCGAGCAGGCTCCCGTGAGCGGGAGCGCGCTCCTTCACTACCAGGACTATCGCGCCACCCTAACCATTCGCCAAACTGTTTTTAATACCAGCGGTAGCCGGCCATAGCGCCGGGCAAAAACTATCTTCCAAAAAAAGAAAGTCACGGAGGGAGTTAAAGGAGAGTGACAGGAGTATGAGAAGAAGAGGGAGAGAAAAGTTTCAGCTTGATCGATGGCGTGGCTTCTCAGTGGTGCAGTGACGCATCCTAAAACCCCTTTTATAATCTATCGATTAGATTTATGATTCGAAAATTATAAAAGTAGGAGACATGCGGAGATTATCCGGATGAACAAAACGTGCATTTATCAAACCGGTTTGTTTTCCACAGACCTTATTTCCAGCTATTTTCCAAAACCCTGTGGAGAAATCCCATTGCTTTCTGTCGAGGGTACCAGCAGCTTACTTCCTGGTTTTAGGACGCGTCACTGCACCTCTCAATATGATGCCAATATAAACAAGGTCTTCTGTCGGCTCTGTACATCAATGCCGACCTATGCTGACAAGTGAGTGAAGAGTAGACAATAAAGGTATTGGCGAAATGTCCCAGCAGTTTAGGATAAAGAAGGTTCTAATCAAATCAATTACATAGCCATTACATGTCTAACTCCGAATGACAGGAAGGCAGAAAGTGCATTATACAAATAATAATAGGCTACTCATAATATCATTATTTTAATAAACCAAATATGAACAATTGAGGAAAATGAGGAAGAACTGATGATTAAAATGTTGTAGTACAAGTAGTAATGTAGTTAGAGCATAAATGACTATTGCAACAAATGTGTTAATTTTCTTCATTATTAGTCGATTCTCTTTTGGACGAATGTTCCGGGCCAGTGGTTACAATGGTGGGGCCAGTGACAATACAAGTCCACCGGCCCGGAGATAGACATTATTTACCCTTAATGTCTACCGCTAGTAAATTGTCTACCCCCCCCCCCCCCCCCCCGTTGACAATTTACTAGCGGTACTTGCGGTGGGCGGTCGAGAGTCCCGGGCTGATTTGTAGTCCCAGTCCGCCCCTGTCTCAAGGTGTCAAAAACCACAAGCGCTTTCTCTGCACGCTAGCTGGAACTTTTGCGCTTGTATATTGCACCATCTAGAATGTGTGAACAAAAAAAAGTTCAGAATGTTCTATCTAGTTTCACATGCCTGAAACAACAAAGAACACTGAAAAAAAGTGTGACATTTACTTAGAAAAACCTCGGTAAACAATATTCCACGCAGAAATTCTAAGTAAATTTAACAACCTACAATTCAAGTAAATTCTACTTAGAGTTCAGAAGTGTCTCTAACAACAGGTACACAAGTACACTTTACTGTGCTTTCAGTTTTTCTTATTTAATTGTACTCACTATTGAATAGTATTTTTTACTTAAATATATAAGTAATATTTACATAATATTTCTTCTTCTATTTAATTGTACTCACTATTGCATAGTATTTTTTACTTAAATATATACGTAATATTTACATAATATTTCTTCTTCTATTTAATTGTCCTCACTATTGCATAGTATTTTTTACTTAAATATATAAGTATATTTACATAATATTTATTTTTCTTATTTAATTGTACTCACTATTGCATAGTATTTTTTACTTAAATATATAAGTAATATTTACTAATATTTCTTCTTCTATTTAATTGTACTCACTATTGCATTGTATTTTTTACTTAAATATACAAGTAATATTTTACATAATATGTATTCTACCTTTAACAGCACTACCCTGTTTAAATATGGGCATACAAAACATGAAACAATGTACTCTTTAAAACAACAACTTTATGTTTTGAAACACTGGTAGAATCTGACTTAAAATAAAAAATCACATGTGGCCCTCATCATATTCAGCACAAGAAACTAAGTGCAATCACTCATCCCCTGACGTCCCTTGCTTTTAGTGTTATAGAGAATAATTACACAATATGTAGTTGCTACAGTGTCACTCAAGAAAACATACAAAACACAATCAAATGAAGAAAAAAATCTTCACCAATTTGACATGTGCCGCATTGAGCTGCAAATACTCAAAGCACAACAAATGAAACTGCTTCCAGGGGCAACTAAAAGTGCCGTGTCAAGAACCCCCCTCAGTCAAGGTTTTGAAACATTTATCTTAACAATATACAAAACATGTAGTTGTACAAAGTGGGCTCAGGCAAAACATATGAAAAAGGTCACTGTTGCTATAGACACCATAACTACCAAGTATTTCCTCTGAACTGCAAGTTGAAGAAACACCTTTGTATACACTTAGGCTACAAGTTTGTTGCACAATGCATGGACTTTTGGAGACATCTTCAGGACATTCAGCTCAAGAAAGAGCTTCTGAAATACTTCAAAAGTGTATTTCATCTTCATTACATTACATTACATTTAGCTGACGCTTTTATCCAAAGCGGACTTACAATAAGTGCGTTCCACCAACAAAATACAAACTTGAAGAAAACCAGAATCATATTAAGTACATCAGGTTTCATAGAGCCAAACATTTCAAGTGCTACTCAACTGGCTTTAGGTAAGCCAGTCCTTTATTGGTATATAAAGTGCTTTGTTATATAGTTCTATCGCTCGAAGTGGAGTCGAACGAGATGAGTTTTCAGTCTGGAAGGTGTGTAAGTTTCTGCTGTCCTGATGTCAATGGGGAGCTCATTCCACCATCTTGGAGCCAGGATAGCAAACCCACGTGTTTTTTGCCGATGGGAACTTGGGTCCCCCTCGCAGTGCGGGTGCAGCGAGCTGTTTGGGCTGATGCAGAGCGTAGTGCACGCGCTGGGGTGTACGGTTTTAACCATGTCCTGGATGCTAGGAAGGGCCAGATCCATTCGCAGCATGGTAAGCAAGTACCAGTGTCTTGAAGTGGATTCTAGCAGTTACCGGAAGCCAGTGAAGGGAGCGGAAGGAGCGGGAGTGGTGTGGGAGAATAGGAAGGTTGAAGACCAGACGAGCCGCTGCATTCTGGATGACCTGCAGAGGTCGGATGGCACATGCAGGTAGACCAGCCAGGAGGGAGTTGCAGTAGTCTAGGCGTGAGATGACGAGAGCCTGGACCAGAACCTGCGTCGCTTTCTGTGTCAGCTGGGGACGTATCCTCCTGATGTTGTCCATCTTCGGTGGATAACTTAAGTTCATTGCATATATGAAGCCCGTGAGCACAAGGCAAGCCTTTGACACACATCTGCAGTCATCAAGAACCTCACTTCCCTCGATGATGATGGACACATCGGCAGGGCCTTCGTGTGCTGCACTTCCACGGAGGACAACTATTTTCACAACGCATGGATGTATAATAAGAACGATGTTACCCTTCCTGTACCCGGGCCCGGTGACACGATGGAATCAAGAGAGCTCAGACCCTCACTTATATAGAGGTCGGAACATGTCATAACGTATAAATAGATACAAGCATAAATAAAATGTAGGAATAAAACATCATAAATACAGGACTACATATGTTCCAGTGTTTTCAGAGAGCTGTAGTGTGTGTGCTGTGGCTCAGCTGGAAAGCAGTTGACTCACGACCGCAGGGTCTCTGGTTCAACGACTGAACAATACGTACTTTTTGTTGTTTATAAAAGCTACAGCTAAATGAGATAATGTAGTTAATAAATGTATTCTTTGATATGGTTTAGCCTTTCTCCGGCTACAACATGGTTATGTTTATGAATATTATTAAGGAATACAAATCCCTCTTTGCAATGTTTACCAGCCTCCTTAGGCTTTTCAATCACAATCATTCAACTGGAATAAAAACAATATTGTTAACATGAAGATATGATTTAATGTTGGTTGTTTAGAGTTATTCTAAGGCTTTACTCATTGGGAACTCGGTATGAGAGAGCACACTGTTGAGATGTCCAATCTGCCTGTTGTACACACTTTGACCAACAGGGGGTTTGTGTTCAAATGAAGCCCATGATGAAGCCTCATGAGATGAACCCTTTTGCGAACCAATTGGCTGGAAAGCTTCAAAGCTTCATAAGGCTTCATCTCGCCATCACTAGTGAATGCACCTAGAGGTAGGTGAAGCAAAGGTCAGGTATGACACGGCCACTTACACAGCAGAACTGTCAACACATACTTTACAGATCTAACATTTGTAATATAAGACATCTCCTTTAATCAAAGTCCAATGTGGCAATAGTACTTGTATTGAACTAAAGTATCTGAATAGCCTATTGTGTCTGCATACTGCTGATCAGTGTTTTCATTGTTGTAAAACGCTTTTGTAGCCAGCACTGTGCTCTGATTGGTCGTCCAGAGGTCACATGGTCATCCACAGCCAATCGGCTTCCAGCGATGAGGACATTTAATCACCAAACATCTTCACATTCTTTCTGTCTCACCTCGCCCGGTTGGATTACTTATCGGTTTACGCCATATATTTGCTGAAAAACCACGCTTTTAATGCTCCACGCCTCTTCGGAATACTCTCAGTTTTTTGGGTGTGTGTGTTTCTGCAGACACACCCTCTGAAGTGAAGGAGGAGAAACCGAGCATTTTCTCACTGTTTTTTTCCTGTTATCTGTTTTTTTACTCCATATTGAAGTATGGCTTTCCAAGGATACGGAGCAGCCCCCGGAGGCATGGCGGTGAGAAAGCGTTACAATGTGATGTGTTATCGGGATTAAAGCAGAATATGTGCCCGCTGTCCGGGACAGCCCGGAAGTGGCTCGAGTTGACTGATTATACCGGTTTATCTGACATTAAATCTGTTGATGATGCTCCACCTGTTTAAAGGTTATACCTGGTATCAGTTAACGGTGGGGGGAAAGTGCATACATATATATATATATAGTGTATATAGAATATGCTGTTGAGTAGCCTACACTTAAAATAAAAGGCGTTTTTTTAATTGCTTCCACATGTTCGCAATGGTGGAAGAAATACTACTAAAAGTCATGCAATCAAATATTTGTTTACATTTATATTATTATTATTATTTTATATACTACAAGGATATTAAAATACTACATTAAGTGCTCTTTAATTGCTTCCATGTTTAAAAAATTGCTCCTTTATCACTAAAAGTCATGCAATCAAAAACAAAATTCCTATTATTAAAATTAATATGTATTTTATTTTACTTTTACTCAAGTACAAGACCGTAGTACTTCTACTTTTACTCAAGTACAAGACCTGAGTACTTCTACTTTTACTCAAGTACAAGACCTGAGTACTTCTACTTTTACTCAAGTACAAGACCGGAGTACTTCTACTTTTACTCAAGTACAAGACCTGAGTACTTCTACTTTTACTCAAGTACAAGACCTGAGTACTTCTACTTGTGCTCAAGTACAAGACCTGAGTACTTCTACTTTTACTCAAGTACAAGACCTGAGTACTTCTACTTTTACTCAAGTACAAGATCTGAGTACTTCTACTTTTACTCAAGTACAAGATCTGAGTACTTCTACTTTTACTCAATACAAGATCTGAGTACTTCTACTTTTACTCAAGTACAAGATCTGAGTACTTCTACTTTTACTCAAGTACAAGACCTGAGTACTTCTACTTTTACTCAAGTACAAGACCTGAGTACTTCTACTTGTGCTCAAGTACAAGACCTGAGTACTTCTACTTTTACTCAAGTACAAGACCTGAGTACTTCTACTTTTACTCAAGTACAAGATCTGAGTACTTCTACTTTTACTCAAGTACAAGATCTGAGTACTTCTACTTTTACTCAAATACAAGATCTGAGTACTTCTACTTTTACTCAAGTACAAGATCTGAGTACTTCTACTTTTACTCAAGTACAAGACCTGAGTACTTCTACTTTTACTCAAGTACAAGACCTGAGTACTTCTACTTGTGCTCAAGTACAAGACCTGAGTACTTCTACTTTTACTCAAGTACAAGACCTTTGAGTACTTCTACTTTTACTCAAGTACAAGATCTGAGTACTTCTACTTTTACTCAAGTACAAGATCTGAGTACTTCTACTTTTACTCAAATACAAGATCTGAGTACTTCTACTTTTACTCAAGTACAAGATCTGAGTACTTCTACTTTACTCAAGTAACAAGACCTGAGTACTTCTACTTTTACTCAAGTACAAGATCTGAGTACTTCTACTTTTACTCAAGTACAAGATCTGAGTACTTCTACTTTTCTCAAATACAAGATCTGAGTACTTCTACTTTTACTCAAGTACAAGATCTGAGTACTTCTACTTTTACTCAAGCACAAGATCTGAGTACTTCTACTTTTACTCAAGCACAAGACCTGAGTACTTCTACTTTTACTCAAGTACAAGACCTGAGTACTTCTACTTTTACTCAAGTACAAGACCTGAGTACTTTTACTGAAGTCTAAGTTTTACTATGTCTAAACCTCGAGATTATTAACATTATTCAAAGGATAAGCAGTAAATATGAAATCATTGAATATGGTTATATATATAATATACATATAAGGCTGCACAAACTGGCAAATGAGTCAACAGGAAAGATTTAAAATCATGATTACAGAAGAACGATGAACTTCCTGCACGTTGTTTCCTCATTTAAAGTTGCTTATTCAACAGTCAGATGTTCAAGCACTCTTTCTTTGAGGCATTGTGAGTCTCGAAAAGTTTCTCGTTAACCCCCCGTGGAACAAGATCCCTTTCTTCAGTAAAAGCACTAATACCAAACTCTACAAGTATATACATTCCTTTTTGGACATTATTAACGTATTCCCCAATATGCTGTTCACGTAAAACCCAGAAACAATTCATGTCATTTTCAAACTTTTTTTTGAAAGAAAAACTGGCCCGTTTATTCCTCTGTGTGACGATGCTTGTTCCAGCTGATTCAAGACGCTTTTCAAAGACTTTATTCAGCTTAAAAGGAGAGAAACATGGAGGTCTGTATGCTATAATGTGCCTTCAGGGTGTCCACTTCAGAGCTAATGAGATAATAAGAAACCAATGAAGTGCTTCCTGATCCCCAACACTTTCTTCTCTCTGTGTCTTCGTCTCTGCCAGCAGGATCCAATCTACGGATACTTCACAGCTGTAGCTGGACAGGTAACCCCCCCCCCCCCCCCCACAGTGCCTCTGAACATTATTGGTATCATTCTTTCACACAGTGACGTCACGAGCTACCCACAATGCAACACGCGCCATATATATATATATATATAAATACGCCATTTTCATGGAGGTGCAAATATCCTGGAGGTGCTAATATAAACAGCTAGCTAACGTAACCAGGCAGAGCGCACTAGTTTTTTTTTCTGAATTAACGACCGAAGAAATCGCTGCATGTCTTCGGATTACATCTCTGGACTTGAGGGGTGTGCTCTAGATCGTTACCAGCGTAAACTAGAGCTGTGTGGGTTGTCGGATTGCCCTTACAGACTGCCTGCAGATGTATGCATCTACGTCTATCTTCTGGAAACACCAGGTGAATACCCCACTTGTCACAATAATATTATCATGCCATTGCATATATGTGGTATTTTAGAGTTGACTAGATATTGATTAAGGCAATAGACTATGAGTACAGGAAGCTTAGCAACACCTAGACGGTGTACGGCTAAACCCTTGGCCTGCTTGCACCTCGCGTAAAACGGCGGATACCGGAAGTACGGTGTCGCCCTCGGCCCAATACCCGTATGTGTGAAAGAATAGCAATCATTGTTGTTTCTCTTATCTCTGTGGATTGTTATTCTCTGTATTTCTTTTCCTTATGAATCTGCGACAGGATGGACAGATCTCAGCAGACGAGCTGCAGCGCTGCCTCACACAGTCCGGCATCGCTGGCTCCTACAAACGTAAGAACATCTATTCTTTAATAATGATTATATCCATGCGGGACATTTCATCATAATGCTTGTTTACAGTTGCCCACATGTGGCATTGAAGGCATCAATCAGAAACAGGTTTATCAGCAGGTAGGTTGACACGTACGAGGAATTTGACTTGGTGTCGTGGCGCGTACATGAAAGTAAAACAAGAATTAAAAACACAGAACTATTTTAAGAACAGTATATTAACATAAAAGACGAATCCACCTTCCTGAACGTTAGGGCTCTTCTCTGTGGCTGAAAATCTTATCATGTTTTATATAATAGAATATCGTGGCTATGGTTTTTACAACGATCTGTAAATTCAATTAATAAAAGGTTTGAAGGCATGAGCATTATAAAACATTCAGTTTGGAACACTCGCGCTCCTATTGGCTGGCGCTTCAACACATTGCACCTGATAGGCTAAGGGGCGGGACATCTCTAAGCGGTTGACCAATCACAACAGAGCCGACATCTGTCACTGACATTAATATATGTTTCTGTTTTCAGACAATTGCACTTTAATGGCATAGTGTGTTTTCTTTCAATTAAGACTAATATTTTAAAGGCAGAGTTAAATGAATGAATGCGTTTCTTTTTCTTTTATACCTAAATATACAATCTCTTTATCTTTGAAATGATCCTTATGGAGAGATGTCATGTTTGAAAAGTGATCTTATCAAAGTTCTCGCTGCCTACTAAGCTAACCCTTTTACATTGTCTCAGTGTTGGGCATCGATGCACTTTCCCCACTGCATTTTGGATCATATTTTTACATTCTGAGTTCTGACTTTTCTTTCTGCAGCCTTCTCCCTGGAGACGTGCAGACTGATGATCACCATGCTGGATGTATCCTTCCTCAGGCCTTTCTCACACCACACACTTTCCCTCAATAGGAAAAAGCCCATCATGCAATCCATTTGGTTTACTATCCATGGAGCTGCTGAGATTGATCTGGTATTGCGCTTGCATGCTCACTCTGTAACATTTGAACAACAGGGTAGCAAGTCTTAGTGATGAGGCGTCATTCTTACATAGCTACAGTGTAGATATGTCAATGAAAATCTTAGGTCACAGGCAACACAATAAAAATAGAAACAATTGTGCAAGTAAATAAAACAGAAGAATAGTGAAATAGTGCAATAAGAGTCATACAAGTAATTGGAATATGATATATTACATAAATAATACTAAGTAGCAGCCAGATGAATGTTGTGCATGTTGTTTCAAACGTGCAGGGGTTTAAGTCTCATGGCCTGTGGGATGAAAACTGTCTCTGAGTCTGGTGGTTCATTTAGTTAACTTAAGATGTGGAGGTTTTAAAATTAGCTTGTTTTGGTTGATAATTCCACGTTCAGATTGTTTAAAACAGTGGCTTAATGCCTGCATCTTTCAGGGCTGTGGGAAATAAACAGGAAGTAGAGAAATGTAGAGTATTTACTGAAGGTTTCCCCATGGATGTTTAATAAGAACTGGGATACAGCGTGGGAGGCGAAGTCCCGCCCTTCTGCTTCCGCTCCATGGGACCTTATTTCAGAAAAAGTATGTATTGAAGTCAATGGAGAGAGGAATTACACATATGATGTTTGTCAATCTCACAATATCATCTCCATGTCAAAAAAGTCACAGTTTTTCGTAAAACTGCTTGAAATATAAGAAAATACGCCACTAGAAAGACTACAAATCCCAGAGTAAGTGATGTCATTAACGTTACACATTACACTCGTGTTACTCACAGAAACCTTGTAAAGCCGGTCCCGCATGCTGGCTCTCACGGAACCGACTAACTCCCCTTGTGTGTATTTGCAGCTCTCAACACGCCCAGACTTGGAGTGATTTTCACCTCTTTTAATACTTTCCGCCTCATTCTGAAAGGAAGAAGTGAAATGTTCAACGTGACGGCCGTCTGGGTGCGAGACGGGAGATGTAGTTAATTCGCTTTCACACAAAAAAAGTGTTACGACACATTTTAATTTTCTTGACTTGCAAAATGATCTTTTAAATTGACAAACATCATATGTGTAATTCGTGGCACAATTCAAACGGGAGAGAAAGATAATCTTTCTCTCTCCATTGACTTCAATACATAGTTTTTCTGAAATAAGGTCCCATGGAGGAAAGGGAGGGACTTCGCCTCTCTATTGGCGCATGAGGACAAAAATGGCCCAACTTTTGAGAGAGCGAAACGTCACGGATTACCCATCATGCCTGGCTGTCAGAGCAGAAGTGCCCTTATGTAGCTCACAGAGCATGCGCCCCTTAAGCCCCGCCCCCTGAGCTCCCACTCTCGGCTCAGTAGAATGAATGGAGAGAGAAAATAAATCTAGATTCGGCTTTTAGTGCATTTTACAACTTTAAGGACCGAATGATTCCAATAAGGGCTAAAAGATAGTTCTTACTGGGTAGTTTATTTAGTTAAAAAAGTATCCTCTGATTTACAGACGGCTCTTTCTCCATGTTAGTCAATGGGGAAAGTCTTTCTGGGCCCAGTGATGTCACGGACTGATATGGAGGTTGTTGTACCGCCGTTTGGACACAACGAATATTTTCCTCAGAGTCCGGCGGGCTTGGTTTTTTTAAATGTTGGTGTGGGAAAATGGGCTTGGTCTTTTTGCATTGTTATGTTAGAAACAGCAAAGAGCCAAACACAACATGCTGCAGGCTGGAAGCTTTTGTCTAAAATATTTGATCTGTAGCATGAAGACCCCCCCCCCCCCCCTCCCCCTCCTCACCTCTATGGAGCAGGAACAGGAAACTGAGACTCACAGCGGAAATAAACTTGAAAACACATGTGGTTTTGATCTAGCTGTTCACGCTTCACAAGTAAAGGGACAACATAAAAGCTAGTCAGGAATGTCTTTTCAAATCATTTGTATATTCATTCAAATAAATCTTTACATCCCGACGGCAATCGATTTAACACTGTGGAAAGAAAACAAAGTAATGCGATATTTATAATAATATGACTTAATTACTTATAGAGTGCTTTTCATGGTACTCAAAGAGACGCTACATTTACAGATTATATTTATCTCCAGTGTTTCATATGCAAGCTTTCATACCTCTCACGTGTGTGAATCTGCATATTACATGTGCTGTATTTCTGAGCAAATGGACAGCGTTATCCCACAATGCAGTGCATGCATAATGGGAATAAATCCACTTCTAAGTTTAACTGACTATAAACGTCCCCATTACCTCGTTTTTGATTCAGTATTTGGTGCACGTGTTGCATATTTCCCCAACTGTGAAAACAGAAATACTAGACGACCTGTAATAGTTGACTAGGGAGTTGAGTGTATATATTGTGCATTATCTGTTATTGAGTCGTACTGTGGCTACACAGTGATCTATCTTCTGGTTTCAGACGTTTGTCCTGATGATAAAGCGATCTTTTTGAGTAAAATGCATGGTAAAAACACACCAGTAAGAGTACGTGATGTGTCCTTGACAGTCTCCTCAGAGGGACATGTCCAACAGTATGGGCTTTTCTGAGTTCAAGGAGCTGTGGCAGTCGGTGAACGGCTGGAAGAACACGTTCGCCTCATACGACCGCGACCGCAGCGGGACGGTGGAGGGACACGAGCTGCAGCAGGCCTTCAGCGCCATGGGTAAACTCACACAACCCCCCCTACACACACCCTTTACTCAAGTAGAAGTACACACACCCTTTACTCAAGTAGAAGTACACACACCCTTTACTCAAGTAGAAGCACAGATACTCGTGTTTTAAAAATACTCTGGTGAAAGTAGAAGTACTGACTAAACTTCTTCACTCAAGTCAAAGTAAAGAGGCTTTGAAATGTACTTCAGTAAAAAGTACCCATAACTAGCAGCTGCTTTAAAGAGTACCTGACCTCCCTTTATATTAATAGAACAATAATGTCATTGTTAGCTAATGAATGTTTCCATGCTGAACAACGGCAACATGACAACGTTTCCATTGGTCCCTCTTCTTTAGAGAAGACCAGGAAATGATGGATACACGGATCGTGTTCAAATCAATAGGCACGCAATGACTCTAAAGAATAATGATCACGCATCAAACACACATTCAGACTAAAGGAACCAGCTGTTGGGAAATGAGAGAAGTAGAAAGTACAGGTATTTGAGTTCAACATGTAAGAAGTAGAAAGTACAGGTATTTGAGTTCAACATGTAAGAAGTAGAAAGTACAGGTATTTGAGTTCAACATGTGAGAAGTAGAAAGTACAGGTTTTTGGGTTCAACATGTAAGAAGTAGAAAGTACAGGTATTTGGTTCAACATGTAAGAAGTAGAAAGTACAGGTATTTGAGTTCAACATGTAAGAAGTAGAAAGTACAGGTATTTGAGTTCAACATGAGAAGTAGAAAGTACAGGTATTTGAGTTCAACATGTAAGAAGTAGAAAGTACAGGTATTTGTGTTCAACATGTAAGAAGTAGAAAGTACAGGTTTGAGTTCAACATGTGAAGAAGTAGAAAGTACAGGTATTTGAGTTCAACATGTGAGAAGTAGAAAGTACAGGTATTTGTTCAACATGTAAGAAGTAGAAAGTACAGGTATTTGGTTCAACATGTAAGAAGTAGAAAGTACAGGTATTTGTGTCAACATGTAAGAAGTAGAAAGTACAGGTATTTGAGTTCAACATGTGAGAAGTAGAAAGTACAGGTATTGGGTTCAACATGTAAGAAGTAGAAAGTACAGGTATTTGTGTTCAACATGTAAGAAGTAGAAAGTACAGGTATTTGAGTTCAACATGTAAGAAGTAGAAAGTACAGGTATTTGTGTTCAACATGTAAGAAGTAGAAAGTACAGGTATTGAGTTCAACATGTAAGAAGTAGAAAGTACAGGTATTTGAGTTCAACATGTAAGAAGTAGAAAGTACAGGTATTTGACTTCAACATGTAAGAAGTAGAAAGTACAGGTATTTGGGTTCAACATGTAAGAAGTAGAAAGTACAGGTATTTGGTTCAACATGTAAGAAGTAGAAAGTACAGGTATTTGTGAGTTCAACATGTAAGAAGTAGAAAGTACAGGTTTAGGAGTTCAACATGTAAGAAGTAGAAAGTACAGGTATTTGTGTTCAACATGAGAAAGTAGAAAGTACAGTATTTGAGTTCAACATGTAAGAAGTAGAAAGTACAGGTATTTGTGTTCAAAATGTAAGAAGTAGAAAGTACAGGTATTTGGTTCAACATGTAAGAAGTAGAAAGTACAGGTATTTGGGTTCAACATGTAGTAGAAGTAGAAGTACAGGTATTTGTGTTCAACATGTAAGAAGTAGAAAGTACAGGTATTTGAGTTCAACATGTAAGAAGTAGAAAGTACAGGTATTTGAGTTCAACATGTAAGAAGTAGAAAGTACAGGTATTTGAGTTAACATGAGAAGTAGAAAGTACAGGTATTGTGTTCAACATGTAAGAAGTAGAAAGTACAGGTATTTGAGTTCAACATGTAAGAAGTAGAAAGTAGGTACAGGTATTTGTGTTCAACATGTAAGAAGTAGAAAGTACAGGTATTTGTGTTCAACATGTAAGAAGTAGAAAGTACAGGTGTTGAGTTCAACATGAAATAAGTAGAAGAAAGTACAGGTATTTGAGTTCAACATGTAAGAAGTAGAAAGTACAGGTATTTGAGTTCAACATGTAAGAAGTAGAAAGTAGAGGTATTGTGTTCAACATGTAAGAAGTTAAAGTACAGGTATTTGAGTTCAACATGTAAGAAGTAGAAAAGTACAGGTATTTGAGTTCAACATGTAAGAAGTAGAAAGTACAGGTATTTTGTTCAACATGTAAGAAGTAGAAAGTACAGGTATTTGTTCAACATGTAAGAAGTAAAGTACAGGTATTTGAGTTCAACATGTAAGAAGTAGAAAGTACAGGTATTGGTTCAACATGTAAGAAGTAGAAGTACAGGTATTTGTGTTCAACATGTAAGAAGTAGAAAGTACAGGTATTTGAGTTCAACATGTAAGAAGTAGAAAGTACAGGTTTTGTTCAACATGTAAGAAGTAGAAAGTACAGGTATTTGTGTTCAACATGTAAGAAGTAGAAAGTACAGGTATTTGTGTTCAACATGTAAGAAGTAGAAAGTACAGTATTTGTTCAACATGTAAGAAGTAGAAAGTACAGGTATTTGTGTTCAACATGTAAGAAGTAGAAAGTACAGGTATTTGGGTTCAACATGTAAGAAGTAGAAAGTACAGGTATTTGGGTTCAACATGTAAGAAGTAGAAAGTACAGGTATTTGGGTTCAACATGTAAGAAGTAGAAAGTACAGGTATTTGGTTCAACATGTAAGAAGTAGAAAGTACAGGTATTTGGTTACATGTAAGAAGTAGAAAGTACAGGTATTTGGTTCAACATGTAAGAAGTAGAAAGTACAGGTATTTGGTTCAACATGTAAGAAGTAGAAAGTACAGGTATTTGTGTTCAACATGTGAGAAGTAGAAGTACAGGTATTTGGTTCAACATGTAAGAAGTAGAAAGTACAGGTATTTGAGGTTCAACATGTAAGAAGTAGAAAGTACAGGTATTTGGTTCAACATGTAAGAAGTAGAAAGTACAGGTATTTGTTTCAACATGTAAGAAGTAGAAAGTACAGGTATTTGGTGTTCAAGATGTAAGAAGTAGAAAGTACAGGTATTTGAGTTCAACATGTAAGAAGTAGAAAGTACAGGTATTTGAGTTCAACATGTAGAAGTAAAAGAGAAAGTACAGGTATTTGAGTTCAACATGTAAGAAGTAGAAAGTACAGGTATTTGGTTCAACATGTAAGAAAGTAGAAAGTACAGGTATTAGTGTTCAAAATGTAAGAAGTAGAAAAAGTACAGGTATTTGAGTTCAACATGTAAGAAGTAGAAAGTACAGGTATTTGGTTCAAGATGTAAGAAGTAGAAAGTACAGTATTTGAGTTCAACATGTAAGAAGTAGAAAGTACAGGTATTTGAGTTCAACATGTAAGAAGTAGAAAGTACAGGTATTTGAGTTCAACATGTAGAAGTAGAAAGTACAGGTATTTGTGTTCAACATGAGAAGTAGAAAGTACAGGTATTTGAGTTCAACATGTAAGAAGTAGAAAGTACAGGTATTGAGTTCAACATGTAGAAGTAGAAAGTACAGGTATTTGTGTTCAACATGTAAGAAGTAGAAAGTACAGGTATTTGAGTTCAACATGTAAGAAGTAGAAAGTACAGGTATTTGAGTTCAACATGTAAGAAGTAGAAAGTACAGGTATTGTGTTCAACATGTGAGAAGTAGAAAGTACAGGTATTTGAGTTCAACATGTAAGAAGTAGAAAGTACAGGTATTTTGTTCAACATGTAAGAAGTAGAAAGTACAGGTATTTGTGTTCAACATGTAAGAAGTAGAAAGTACAGGTATTTGGTTCAACATGTAAGAAGTAGAAAGTACAGGTATTTGGGTTCAACATGTAGAAGTAGAAAGTACAGGTATTTGTGTTCAACATGTAAGAAGTAGAAAGTACAGGTATTTGTGTTCAACATGTAAGAAGTAGAAAGTACAGGTATTTGAGTTCAACATGTAAGAAGTAGAAAGTACAGGTATTTGTGTTCAACATGTAAGAAGTAGAAAGTACAGGTATTTGAGTTCAACATGTAAGAAAGTAGAAAGTACAGGTATTTGGTGCAACATGTAGAAGTAGAAAGTACAGGTATTTGGGTTTCAACATGTAAGAAGTAGAAAGTACAGGTATTTGTGTTCAACATGTAAGTAGAAGTAGAAAGTACAGGTATTTGAGTTCAACATGTAAGAAGTAGAAAGTACAGGTATTTGTGTTCAACATGTAAAGTAGAAAGTACAGGTATTTGTGTTCAACATGTAAGAAGTAGAAAGTACAGGTATTTGAGTTCAACATGTAAGAAGTAGAAAGTACAGGTATTTGGGTTCAACATGTAAGAAGTAGAAAGTACAGGTATTTGTTCAACATGTAAGAAGAAGTAGAAAGTACAGGTATTTGTGCTCAACATGTAAGAAGTAGAAAGTACAGGTATTTGGGTTCAACATGTAGAAGTAGAAAGTACAGGTATTTGAGTTCAACATGTAAGAAGTAGAAAGTACAGGTATTTGAGTTCAACATGTAAGAAGTAGAAAGTACAGGTATTTGAGTTCAACATGTAAGAAGTAGAAAGTACAGGTATTGTGTTCAACATGAGAGAAGTAGAAAGTACAGGTATTTGAGTTCAACATGTAAGAAGTAGAAAGTACAGGTATTTGGGTTCAACATGTAAGAAGTAGAAAGTACAGGTATTTGTGTTCAACATGTAAGAAGTAGAAAGTACAGGTATTTGAGTTCAACATGTAAGAAGTAGAAAGTACAGGTATTTGTGTTCAACATGTAAGAAGTAGAAAGTACAGGTATTTGAGTTCAACATGTAAGAAGTAGAAAGTACAGGTATTTGTGTTCAACATGTAAGAAGTAGAAAGTACAGGTATTTGTGTTCAACATGTAAGAAGTAGAAAGTACAGGTATTTGAGTTCAACATGTAAGAAGTAGAAGTACAGGTATTTGGTTCAACATGTAAGAAGTAGAAAGTACAGGTATTTGAGTTCAACATGTAAGAAGTAGAAAGTACAGGTATTTGTGTTCAACATGTAAGAAGTAGAAAG